TGAGGTCTGAGGTAGCAGGCATGAACAGAGGAGAGATGACCCAGCTACCCATGCCTACCACAGGACCAATGATCTGGTGACATGAGTAGAGAAACCAAGACTGGAGAGGGCAGTGAAGGCCCTGCAGGTTGTGCAGAGGGAGTAAAGAGACCCTGAGAGGGTGCTGTGTGGTGTTACACGCCACAAGGACTGAGTGATTAGCTGGGTCTGACCACTGGGCACACCCTGCAGCAGAGGGCAGATGTGAGCAAAGCAAGAAGGGCAGAGAGGTGGCAGCTGGCCACTGGCACTCCAATGAGCCAGGCAGCAAAAAGGGGACCTGTAGACCAGGGTGGGGAAGGCACATGGCAAAGGTAACCATAACAAGACATGGGGAGCGTGCAGGGCAGAGGGGCCTGAGAGGCACAGGTGAGCCACCATGGAGGACAGGAGCGTCCCAGCAGGAGGGCAGAATCGGCCCCAGCACATTTTCTTCACTCAGCAGTCATGAGTCACTCACATGGTAAGAATGCTTCTCAGGCCCTAAGTGACCAGCAGCTATTGTGGCAGAGACCAAGCTCTTCAAGGGGAGGTCAGTACCAAGTGCCCCCTCCCCAGAGCCCCAAGAGAACAGTGGTGATGGTGTGGCCTGCCTTTCCTCCAGTGTCACCTTGCCAGCCAGGCTTGCCTCCGTCCCTGGACTCTGCACCACAGACCACACCGTCGGCCCAGGTGCTCGCGCCTACATCACTGTGGAACTGGGTGCCCCCTGGGGCAGAGTATGCCAAGGCCTCAGCATGACCTACACAGCTTCACTGGCCCCCAAACAACTCCCGTGACCATCAGCTCGGATGGAGCATTTTCAAGGGAATCCCAGCCCTCCCACTGCCCAACAACCCGGGTTTCCTCAGGGTCTTTAAGGATCTCAAGATTCATGTGCACCTGCTCTGCCTGTCTTGTCACATCCTCCCAGGGTCTGCCCATGAGGCTCCCAACAGTTGCTGCAGGTGAACACACAAGCTAGGATATAGGCACTGGTGAAAGGCAGCACTGAGCCATGCCCAGCTCTGCTGCCCACTGACCACTCTGGGCCTCATCTTAGTTGTGCCTTAACGTGACCCACCCATCCTAGTGAATCAGGTATTAGAACAGGTATTTTTCTCCTAACTTGAATTTGCTTAAAATAATATTTAAACCAAAACCAACCCAGGAGCCAGCAGGAATCCACATCTGCATCCCATCTCAGTCAGCGCCTGCCCGGCCAGTAGACACAAGCAGCCCACAAAGCCAGACAGGAACTGATAGGGATGTACCAACATCGGCTCTGATCTGCCAAATGTTCCTCGAATGGTGGTGAGACAAGGATGAGAATAAGGTGGAGGCCTGGGCAGCAGGGCAGGAAGGCAGTGTCACATTGCTTCAGATCAGAGCACACGGTGCTCTGAAGGTTGGCCAGGTTCCAGCCTGGAAAATGGGGATTAGGATTTTTGCTCAGTGCCCAGTAAGAGGGCTCAAGAGAGGTTCAGGTGTCACTGGTATAACACAGCCTCCAAGGGAGGAGGTGGCTCTACTTTGCACACAAGAAGTTAAGACCTGGTCTAAGGCCACTGCTTAGGGTACAACACAGCTACAACCAAGTTCAACATGTCTCTGAAGTCTCACACTTTGTGGTTACCAGGATTTCTCATACTTGAGAACACATGATCCTCCCAAATCCAGCCAAGACCCAGTCTGGAAAACTGCAGTATCAGTTCTAGCTCAAGCACATGCTTGGCACTCAGATGTTCTGTATTAAGCACAAACCCAGGCTGTGCAACTGCAGGGCAGTATGTTGCCAGCCAGACTGTCAGAAAATGGAAGGCAGAAAACCTGAATACTCAAGAATATAACAATCACACCCTCAGCTTGTCTTCAGTGAGGAGAGGCCAGCATCTCCAAACGGCGTTTCAAAGGATAGGATCCACAGCCATGGTTTCCAGAGGCAAGCACCAGGCCCTGCCCTGGGTCAGCAGACACCCACGTGATCTGGGTAGCAATGGAGAAGATCAACAGAATACTATTTTAGTTCAGCTATCTGAAGGAGAAAAAAAGAAAGAGAAAATGAAAGAAATAAATAATGGAACTATCCCTATGCTGAAGAATAATTTAGAGAAAAAAATGAAATTACTTTCATAACCAGAAAAAAAACCTTCTAAAAAGTAATTCAAACAAGGGCTTCCAGAGGGCCATCACCTACAACCTGACACCAGACAGCCTTTGACAGCAAAACAAGTCCCCTGCAACTCCAGCCCAGAGGTTCTCAGAGAAATACCTCTGCCCAGAGGTAAACCTGGCCATGTCGGCAGGTATTTGGGGATGCTCCTGGCATCACTGGGCAGAGGCTGCTGAACATCCTATACGCATGGCCACCACAACAGGAGCCACACATCCAAAAGCTCCCAGGACCATAGAGAGGTTGATGCTCCTCCACCCACTGTGGAGGCAGTGGAAGTCAGAGCATGCTGGCATTCACATCCCAAGCTGCTCCATTCCCTTTCCGTTTCACCAGAAATATGAAGAGGAAGAGATGGGCATGTGAGTATCCAGGAGCCACTGACAGCAGGAGTATGAAGAAGCAGCTTGAACCCACATAAGCGCTCCTGCCCCTGGGAGTCTGAGAAGGAAAAGCAGTTTAATTCTTACCAGGTGAAGATTCAGTCCAGAGCCCACCAGGTGCCATCAGTCTGCAGGGCACACGCCCTTCACTACAGGGGCCCAGCCCCCAGCCCCCAGCCTTCACATGCTTCTGGCCACACTGTGTGTCTCTGTCCCACCCCAAACCCACCTGCACCTAACTCTCCTCACACCTGTCAACAGTACAGCTCTGGAGACATCAGCACTGTCCACATTGTTTCATTTTGTTAACAAACACTTCTAACTCCTGGTGCTCCAGTCAAAACCTCCCTATCATCTACCAGAAGTCACTCCTGAAAACAGCAAAAACACATGAACTCAGCACTGATACACTGTCAAAAGAACAGAGAAATCATTACAAGGATGATATCCAAAGGACCTAGAAGAGAAATGCTACTACTGTACTTCCTGGGGTAAATAGCATTTCTACTTAGAACAATTCTTCTTTAATATCAGTCTTTATTTATTTTGCAGTACTAGGGATTAAATCCATGGCCTTCACACTGAGCTACAGCCCCAGCCCCTTTTTTACTGAAACAGGATCTCACTAAGTCACTAAGTTGCCCAGGCTAAGTCCAAACTTTTGATCCTCCTGCCTCACCCTCCCAGAGTGTAGAATTACAGGCATATACCACCATGCCTAGCTTTTTAATATCATTCTAAAAAAGACAGAAAAAAAAGATTTTCAAAAATAAGACAAGCATGTCTGAAACTACAGCACTGCCCTTCTGTACCTAAGTATCTGTGCACCCATTTTAATCAGAGGGTGCACAACAGCTCTGGAATGCAAAGTACAGTCATGGTCATCAGAAAAGAGAGGACTTCAGGAACCCTTTCCTTAGCGTACATTTCCTTTTTCAGTGCATTCGATGGGCAATGGAAGAATTTCTGGAAAACTTTCCTGTCCGGTGGTTCCCACAGCCACCAGCAAAACCAAAAACAACAGCAATGCACCAACAGAGTTCTGGTCTCTGTACATCTATTCAAACAGGACTGAAGGTGCTGGTAATCTACCGCTGCCTTTCAGTTGAGTATAAAACCAACAACCTACATCCTGAAGGGATCTGTGAAGGGATCTGTGAAGAGATCTGGTGACGCCAGCAACAGTCCCCATCCTCTTAATCAAGCAGAGTGTAGGATATAAAACTACCATAAAACACTGCTGCTCCCCACTAAGAAGGAAGAACAGCGCCCTCACCTCTGTATCCCTGTGAAGAACAACCTCACAAAATCAGATGTCAGCAGTGACCACATCAACAGGTACCTTCCAGGGATCTCCAGTACCTCCTGGAGCAGTACATGGTCACTCATTTTGCCCCAGGAGGTACGGGTGCTACAAGAGCTTCCATCTGACAAGAGACAGCATCAAAGTTAAACTTGGGTGGGGCCCAGAGGGCTCAGGGGCCATGCTCTATGGCAGCTGGCTAAATTGCTTTGGGGCCAAGGACACACACTGGCCTGCATCTGCCACCATCTGTCATCACGGAGATGGACGGTGTCATCAGGTGTTCTTGCCGGAAAGAGGCTACCTGGCCCTCAGGGAAGTGACTGTAGAATCCCAAAGCTCAACCAGCTCTACAGGGAACGTCCGACCTTGATCTCTGAAGGGATTTCCTCACTGGAGCCTATCGAGCACCACCAAATCCTCTAGTCATTACAAAGACCGAACAGGTCGGTGTGATTATTCGCCCAAAGGAAGCGGCCACCCAAGGTCACGCCTCCGGCGCCCTGGCAGGCACTGCCCTAGGGGTATGGCGAGCCCAGCAGATGGGTTGCTCGGGGGTGGGGGTGGGGCTCCACTGATCCCCTAATTAAAGACCAGAGGCCAGCTAGCCACGCCCATCTGGAGCTTCCGGAAGGAGACCCGACGCATCCGAGATCCACAGCCG